GGCCAAAGTACTGGAGCCTCAGCTTCACAATCTGTCCTTCCAGTGAGCACTCAGGGCTAATTTCCTTAAGAATGGATGCGTTTGATCTTCTTGCAGTCCATGGGACTCTCAAGAGTCTCCTCCAGCACCATAATTCAAAAGCATCAATTCTTCGGCGATCAGCCTTCTTTATGGTCCAACTCTCACTTCCATACATCACTACTGGGAAAACCATGGCTTTAACTATATGGACCTTTGTTGGCAAGGTGATGTCTCTACTTTTTAAGATGCTGTCTAGGTTTGCCATCGCCTTTCTCCCAAGGAGCAGGCATCTTTTAATTTCATGACTGCTGTCACCATCTGCAGTGATCATGGAGCCCAGGAAAGTAAAATTTCTCACTGCCTCCATTTCTTTCCCTTCTATTTGCCAGGAGGTGATGGGACCAGTGGCCATGATCTTCATTTTTTTGATGTTGAGCTTCAGACCATATTTTGCGCTCTCCTCTTTCACCCTCATTAAAAGGTTCTTTAATTCCTCCTCACTTTCTGCCATCAAGGTTGTGTCATCTGCATATCTGAGGTTGTTGATATTTCTTCCGGCGATCTTAATTCCGGCTTGGGATTCATCCAGTCCAGCCTTTCGCATGATGAATTCTGCATATAAGTTAAATAAGCAGGGAGACAATATACAGCCTTGCCGTACTCCTTTCCCAATTTTGAACCAGTCAGTTGTCCCATATCCAGTTCTAACTGTAGCTTCTTGTCCCACATAGAGATTTCTCAGGAGACAGATGAGGTGATCAGGCACTCCCATTTCTTTAAGAACTTGCCATAGTTTGCTGTGGTCGACACAGTCAAAGGCTTTTGCATAGTCAATGAAGCAGAAGTAGATGTCTTTCTGGAACTCTCTAGCTTTCTCCATAATCCAGCGCATGTTTACAATTTGGTCTCTGGTTCTTCTGCCCCTTTGAAATCCAGCTTGCACTCCTGGGAGTTCTCGGTCCACATACTGCTTAAGCCTGCCTTGTAGAATTTTAAGCATAACCTTGCTAGCGTGTGAAATGAGTGCAATTGTGCGGTAGTTGGAGCATTCTTTGGCACTGCCCTTCTTTGGGATTGGGATGTAGACTGATCTTCTCCAATCCTCTGGCCACTGCTGAGTTTTCCAAATTTGCTGGCATATTGAGTGTAGCACCTTAACAGCATCATCGTTTAAAATTTTAAATAGTTCAGCTGGAATATCATCACTTCCACTGGCCTTGTTATTAACAGTACTTTCTAAGGCCCATTTGACTTCGCTCTCCAGGATGTCTGGCTCAAGGTCAGCAACCACACTATCTGGGGTGTATGAGCCATCCATATCTTTCTGGTATAATTCCTCTGTGTATTCTTGCCACCTCTTCTTGATGTCTTCTGCTTCTGTTAGGTCCTTTCCACTTTTATCTTTTATTATGGTAATCTTTGTACGAAATGTTCCTTTCATATCTCTAGTTTTCTTGAACAGATCTTGGGTTTTTCCCATTCTGTTGTTTTCCTCTATTTCTTTGCATTGCTCGTTTAAGAAGGCCTTCTTGTCTCTCCTTGCTATTTTTTGGAAATTTGCATTCAATTTCCTGTATCTTTCACTATCTCCCTCGCATTTTGCTTGCCTTCTCTCCCCCGCTATTTGTAAAGCCTCGTTGGACAGCCACTTTGCTTTCTTGCATTTCCTTTTCATTGGGATGGTTTTAGTTGCTGCCTCCTGTATAATGTTACGAGCCTTCATCCATAGTTCTTCAGGTACTCTGTCCACCAAATCTAAATCCTTTTTTTTTTTTTTTAAAGCAATTTATTGGGTTTTACAATAAGAATAAATGTAATAAACAATATAGCATTCGTCTTAACATAATTTCACATTTTCTTTGGACTTCCTCACATCTCCCACTCCCACCTTCATCATTATAACATTTTGTCAGCAATTTATCATCTTATTTAAATTCTTATATCTCTTCGATATTTCATAATCTTAAAGTTCTCATAAAGAGTTAAACTTTCACAATTTTTCTTGTTTCCTTAAAAATTTCTAAGTTAAGTGGTGCTCAGTTATTTAGTCCAGCATCTTATTCAGCATTCAATCAAATCACAATGTTTTTGTAGGTAGTTCTTAAATTTCTTCCAATCCTCCTCGATTCTCTCTTCTCCCAGGTCACGGATTCTGCCAGTCATTTCAGCCAGTTGCATATAGTCTATCAGTTGCATCTGCCATTCTTCCAGTGTGGGTAGATCTTGGGTTTTCCAATGTTTTGCGAGTAGTATCCTTGCTGCTGTTGTTGCATACATAAAAATGTCTGGTCCTTCTTTGCCACCCCTTGGCTGACAATACCCAAAAGGAAAGCCTCTGGTTTCTTAGTGAAAGTATATTTAAATACCTTTTTCAATTCATTATAAATCATTTCCCAGAACGCCTTCACTTTAGGGCATGTCCACCAGAGGTGAAAGAACGTTCCTTCACACTCTTTGCATTTCCAGCACTTATTGTCAGACAGGTGGTAAATTTTTGCAAGTTTGACTGGGGTCATATACCATCTATAAATCATTTTCATTACATTTTCTTTCAAAGCATTACATGCAGTAAATTTCAATCCATTACTCCACAGCCTTTCCCAGTCCTCAAACATAATATTATACCCGATATCCTGTGCCCACCTTATCATAGCCGATTTAACCATTTCATCCTGTGTGTTCCATTCCAACAGCAAGTTATACATCCTTGAAAGTATCTTAGTCTTTGGTTCTAACAATTCTGTTTCTAATTTCGATTTCTCCACCTGGAACCCTAGTTTCTTATCACTTTTAAAAACTTCTTTAATCTGAGCATAGTGTAACCAATCTCGCACTTTGTCTTTCATTTTCTCCAAGCTCTGCAATTTCCAATTGTCTCCATCCTTTTCTAGTATTTCCCAATATTTTGGCCATTTGGCCTCCATATTGGGTCTTTTTCGGGCCTTAGCTTCCAAAGGTGAAAGCCACCTTGGTGTTTTATTTTCCAGCAAGTCTTTATATTTTGTCCAGACATTAAACAGTGATTTTCTAACAATATGGTTCTTAAAGGCCTTATTTGCTTTAACTTTGTCATACCATAAATATGCATGCCATCCAAAAACATTGTTAACCCCTCCAAATCTAACACATCAGTGTCTTCAAGAAGTAGCCAGTCTTTTAGCCAGCAGAACGCTGCGGCTTCATATACAACTTTAAGTCCGGCAGGGCAAAGCCCCTCTTTGTTTAGCATCGGTTAGTATCTTAAACTTAATTCTGGGCTTTTGCCCTGCCAGACAAACTTCGAAATGTCTCTCTGCCACTTCTGAAAGCACTCCATTTTGTCCAATACCTGCAGTGTTTGAAATAAAAACAACATTCTTGGCAATACATTCATCTTAATCGCAGCAATTCGGCCTAACAAAGAAAGTTTCAATTTTGACCAACTGTCTAAGTCCCTCTTAATTTCTGTCCAACATTTTTCATAATTATCCTTAAATAGACTTAGATTTTTTGCTGTTATGTTTACCCCCCAAATCTAAATCCTTAAACCTGTTCCTCACTTCCACCTTCATGGATCACTGTCTTGCTGTGTCGAAGGCACTTGAATAACTCAGGGAAGCTATGAGCTATGCCGTGCAGGGCCACCCAAGATGGACAGGTCATAGTGGAGAGTTTTGACCAAATGTGATCCACCTGGAGCAGGAACCGGCAAGCCACTCCAGTATCCCTGCCAAGCAAACTCCATGGACAAAGGCAACAGGCATATAACCAACATGCTTAACTCTAATTAATGCACAAAAGGCCTAAGACTGTAGAGTAAGCTGTCTTGCCAGGCTTAGCTAGGTCACACCTCCTCACCTTGGGAGGAAGGGTTACCAGACCCTGTTCTGTTTCTTTCCACCATGTGAATCCGGCCAGGAAAGATGTCTAAGATGGATGCTCCAAACTTAAACCATGTGGCTTTAACAAGCCATCTTTGTGTTTCTATACAAATAATTTAGAATCTCTTACCATTTTTTAAACTAAGTTTAAACTGCCTGTCTTTGCTTGCTGCTGTGTGGAAAAGCACAGGAAACTGACCTTTGAAGAGTTTGTAAGTAAACCATTTTAAACTTACCAAACGTGTGGTCTCTTTCTCTGCTAAGCGAAGTGGAAAACTTTGGAAGAAAAAACAGAAGCAGATATTTTAAAGGTTTAACAGCCTATGTTTCCATGCTTTGCTTTGCTGCATGTTTTGTGATTTTAAAGCTGTGCTGGGGCGCTCTCACCTAAGAGTACTTGCCACAAACATGGATCTAGGCATCCAGGGAATTATCTTTTTATCCAAATTACAAACACCAGCACAGCTTTGCTGGTAATTAGGACATTTTTCATTTTGAAGTTAGTGTCCAGCTAGGATGTGATAGCAAAGCAGTAAAGCCATGTTGTCTCAATCACATTTAGGGAGGGTTCTCCCACTCTCTCATTTTTCCAGTCTTAAATTCAGTTCTTCATATTCCTAGAGCAATCTGCAATAATAATAATAATAATAATAATAATAATAAACAACTCATGAGAACTAACCAACATTTTAGTGCAAATTTCTCCTACTAAACATGTTTTCATGTGCAATTTTGACTAAGGTACACATTTTTTGCTAGCGGTTTCTTTCAATATAATGATTTTTTTTGTCTGTTTTCTGTAGTAAATTCCTTTTTAAATGAACATTCCCTCCTACTATATACATTTTGGTAAACACTGGTTGGTTGGAGAACTGCATTGCAACATTTGGATAAATATGAATTTTGAAGGAAGCCTGCATTTCAGTTCCCATATTGTTTTGGGAAGTGCAAGTTTGATAGATCTGGCTTTAAATGCTAACTGAATTGAATTTCTCCCCCATCTCTAATCAAGCTGCCATGTACCAAGTCAGACCAACTGTCTATCTAGCTTAGCATTATCTACATTGACTGACAGTGGCCCTCCAGGGTTGCAGAGAGGGAGTTCTTCCTGGCCCTATGTGGAGATGTCAGGGATTGAACTGGAGGTCTTCTGCATGCAAAACAGATGCTCTACCACTGAACTAAGGTCTTGTCCCAATGAGGAGGAGTGGGGCCAGAGAGCTGCTGCCTATCTTCAGCTTCTTCCTCCCAGTACTTTTCTCCTAGCTGGTCTCCTTAGCAGCTCAGTTGCCTAACTGATAGAAGAGCAATGCCTGGGGAAGTCAGCAGAACACAAGGGAGGGGGTTAAAATGCAGGATGTGGTTTGGGCGTCTTGCCTGTACATGACCCCTTTTCTTCTTTAAACTGGATTCCACTGCATTCTACATGTTTGGATGGATCCAGGTTTAAACAGAGGTCTAGTTTGGCTCTTAAAAGAGTCATCAGTGTTCTGCGATAACCGGGACCTCCCGAGGCCTAGACCACATTTGGACAGAGTGGGTTAAAAATGTAGTATGGCATTTATTACTTCAGATTTCACCCTTTATGACGCATTTAAGCAAATAGTCCACACTCTCATATTCTCCTGCTCCAAGGTATTTCCATTTATTGTGCTTACTGATAGAGATTATTTTGTATGGTGTTCTACTTTAAACAGAGTTGCCAACTGATCAGGAACTGGCCTAGCCTGTTCTTATGCTGTTAACAACAGCCCCATCTGCAGATATACAGAGTTGTAGCCATCTGTACTCAGATAAGTTCCATTGAAATTAATGGATTTAAATTAGACATGTCTATTCATTTCAGGGAGTCTGAGTATAATTGGATATAATCCATAGCTAATAAAGCTTTTCGGAAGATGGAGGTCAGCATCACTACCTATTAATGTCTTCAAATCAGCTTTCTGTTAAAGGCATTTCTGCAGCAGCTGGTTAAAAAGTTGGGAAAACATTACACAGTTGTCCTTTTCAATTAAAGCCCTCTCCCATACACATGTCTTGCTGTGTCTCAGAATTATAAAAAAAACCCGGTGAGATATAGCTGCTTTTCACTTTTTTCCTGTCAGGAATCTGGACAGATTAATTATAGCTATGGAAAGCAAGTCCCTTCAACAACGGTTATAGCATCATTAATTTTCCTCTGAAATGATGCAGTACATGCAATAGTTGTGGGAGATTTAGCTCCATGTTTGCATAATGTGCCCACTACTTTCTCTGCTATTGATTGCTTCATCTGACCGGTTGGTGTTATCATTTAGATAGCACATTTCTCCAGAACTTCGTATTTATATCCTGCAAATATTTACAGGGTCAGCAACTCTCCTCCCCCTCGTCTCTCACATATTCTTTGCTTAGCCAGCTCTGTGTACTGTGTTTATCTCTTTTAATCTTTCTCCTTGCCGTAAGTCAGCGCCTTCACCCCCTTAATCATGTTGGCTGCTCTGAAATGAAATCCCTCTAATTTGTCTACTGAATGAGTCACTTGATGCATGCTCTATACTGAAGGCAGTGACGCAAATGAGGAGGGTTTCAGACCCAGAGTACTCATATGGGTTACTATGATGCGGTGGGAGTTGGGCGGGATTATAGGGAATATCCCCAAACCTCAAGAGAATGAGAGAAGGTTTATATAAAGACTCAAAACAGCTCTTGGGTTAAGCTATGGTGATAAGGTGCAAAGGAGGGCAGGGAGGCGCCTATAGATCTCCAACAGTTGTCTCATAATTGTAGCAGGTGAAGGAGGGAGACATTTGCTTCAGAAAATGAGGCAAGGAACTTGTGGTCCTCCAGATGTTGCTGGACTCCAAATCCCATCATCCCCACCCTTGGTCCATGTTGGCTAGGGCTAGTAAGCTGGGCTCCAACTATCTCTGGAGAGCCACAGGATCTCCGCCTCTGAAGTCCAGCTCTTTTTGTTGTTGCTGTTGTTGCATCTGAACAGATCATTCTTGTTACTACTAACCATCTGTGGTGGCTGGTGCCTATTAGAACAGATGTGGAAGTAGGAGTAGAGGCAAACAGTAGGTGGAGTCAGAGCCCACAAGAGGCAATTAAATAATTCTGCTTTTGCTCCTCTTCCTTGTTCTACAAAGGCAACACTCAGACTAAGGAGGAGGAAGCTGACTTCTCCTGGTGAGAAGGTGGGTAGGTGGGAGCTGGTTGGTGGGGCAGTGCCCCATTCTCCCCAACCGACCAGGCTCCACTGCTTATGATGTGAATTTTAGGACTGCCCTGCTCCCCAAATCTGATTCAGGCCCCAGTCTGATCCCTTGAGGAGGCCCTGATCCAACACATGAGAATCCAGGGTTCATCTGACCCAGACCCCAACCCAAATTTTGTATATGTGTGCTATTGCTACTCTTCCCCCCAGCACAGGTTTAATTAGTTTTAAACTTGCAGTTCGGGGGGAGAAGGAGATTGCATGAGTCTCTTTCCTCACCTCCCGACCCCCCCTGCTTATGCAGTGTTGCTTCCCAGTGCTCAGTTAATGATCTCAGTGCAGGCAGGGGGAGGAGACACATACAGGCAGCTAAGTCCGTAGTGTGTGGCAATGCTTCTGGCTTTTCTTTCATTCATTACTGCTGTCCGTCTGTGTGTGATCAGAACTGTAGAATATGGGGAGGAGAGGGTTATTTTTTCCTTCCTTTTCCCAGCAGCGATCTGGTTCAAATTGCCCCTCCCCTGCATAGTACGAGGGTTTAGGTTGGGGGCGGAGTTTCCATCAGTCAGCCTCCTGTGGCCAAAGTGCGAAGAGGAAAGAACAGTTCATTTCATAACTCTGACTGTCTTGGGGTCAAAAGCATGTCATGCTGGGAGATCTGTGATCAGTTTTTTTTAAAAAATATATTCAATGACTATAGAGAGAGACAAGGACTGACCACATGGTCCAGGAAGGAATATGCTTGTGGGATGCTTTCCTTTTCAATTCCCACCCAACTCCTATTTGCTCCTATGTGGGAGTAGTTCAAGTGTGACACAGGCACTTTGATTTTTCTCCCCTAGGGACCAAATAACAGCTTGTGGAGTGTGGGAGTGTGCGTGCACAATTTAGACCAGGAAATGACTACAGAGGGTGATTTAGATCAGTAAACGGCTCTGGCCCTGATCTGCATCTAGTAAAAATTAAAAAGGCAGGAGTTCATTTGCAGACCCCTTGATGTAATGTGTAGTTTGGCTCTTCCATTCTTTCAGAGGTGAGGTGATTATGCGTGGAAAAGTGGAGAAGAGAATACAGTTGCTTTATAACAGCAAGCTGTAAACTTGGGGCAATGGGGTGTCTGAATCTGTATGTAGGCACCAACCAGCTCTGCTCCTGTTTGCCTCCCATGCTGCCCAAGGAGACATACCATTTCCCCAATGAAAGGCCGGCTGTGGGTCAGACCCAGCATGAATAAACAGCACCAGTCTTCCTCACAGCTGTCGTGTTGCCCTGCAGTCACTAACAAACACAGGACAAACAGTGGCAGCTATATGAGAGGAAGGGCGGAAGAGGAGGTGTGACTTCTGGTACAGCAAGGTGAGAACCTCCTTCCTTTTGCAGGGCTGTGTGTGCGCGTGAGATGCAGGAGCTGCTGAGTCTTCCTTGAACTACTTCAGGGTTCAGCACAGGGGCTGGAAAGTTAGGCAGTGAATCAGTTGACCTCTCACTGAAGCCAGGAATCTTGCAGGAAACACGAAGTTGCCATATCCAACTAGCTACCATCTCCTACAGCACACCTGAAGGAATGCTAGCCTGAGGCAATCCATGTTCTCCCTAGGCAGACATCTAATGGTTGCAACGTCTTCCCTGCTTTTGTTTGTTGATGCCTTCTCTTGAAAGCTGTAGCCCCCTAGGAGGCACTGAATGTGTAACAGGTTCCAGTATTTTTGTTACCTGTCCCCAGTGTGAATTAAGCAACCCCTTCCTCCAATTGCTATGTTTTTTGCTAAAAACTAACATTACTTCCTTTAAGTGGGGCTCTCTACAGTTTAGTTCCAAAGAACTACCTTATAGGTTCAGCCTACAACATGCAAAGCTGGACAAGATCCTGGGTTTTCAATTCAATTCCAGCCTGGATTTTGGCAGGTGCTGTTTGTCTACCTGTTGACAGTTTCTTTTATATGCAGTTACACAAGTGGCCTTGTATTCCTTTGCTCCGAAGGAAAGGTACATGAGGCCTGCTTTTCCGAATAAAATTCTACTGTATTAGTTTGTTTCTTAACCTTTAATACATTTAACCTTTGGGGCACATTTGCAATTAACTTGAAAATGCTTGAAACTCTTGAAATAAATAGGTTTTTATTAAAGTATTCTGTAGAATATGTAAACACAGGGCTTTTTGCCCCCAGCGGGAACTTGCCAGTACGCAGCTCTGGCACCTGTCAGGTGGGTTCCATTGCCATTCTAAGAGAACGAGGGAGGTGTTCACGGTGAGTTCCAGCACCTCTTTTTCTTCAAGTTGCCATACGTCCAGAATTTCCCAGACATAGCCGGCAATCGGCCGTTGGAAGCAGTGACCGGGTGGAAATCACTGAAACATAAAGGAAAGTCCAGATGTAAGGTAACCCATGTCAGCAGTGTCGTTTTTGGCAATTTTCCTTAAATATAGCTCAAAACATTCTAAAAATACCTATTCTGTCCGGATTTTCACTTTTTGAAATATGGCAACCCTACTTTTTCTAGAAAAATAGCACTGCGTAAGGTTAATTGGTGCACTCATTTCCATAGCAATGATGTATGATATGCAAGCAAACAGGATTTTTTTTTATTTTTTATTGCTACAAATTAAGCTACGCTCCACTATGCAGCCCACCACAATCTGGGTAAATACACAGATGCGAACAAGACATATGAAACAGAAGCCTGCTTAGCCTTGACAGAGTGGAATGTTTGAGGAATATTGGCTTAAAATAGCAAGTCAGCTTCTGAGCGGAGTGAAGTGAACAGTAATTACCTACATTCCAGACGGCAAGACCAGGGCAGCAAGCTGATTCGCCTATTTGCAGAAGTGAGAAGCCTAGTTTTCTGTTTACAAGGATATCCTGTTATTTCATGTCCTGACGACTGTTTACATAGAGCCAATATACCTGGCTGCTTCCCAGAAGGCAAAGACCTTTCAGCCTGCGCAACAATGGGAAGCTCTCATACGGCAAAATCTAGAGCTGGGTGGA